AGGTTTTATTATTAAATTGTTTTATCTATGTTAATAACTTCAGTTCATATATCCATTTAGAAGCAATCATATTTCCTAGAATGTTGAAGTTCTCCTTGAGTAAGGAATCACAATAGAAAGGAAAACAAAAGTCAAATAAGAAAGTGAGATTGAAAATGCAGATGAAGTAGATAGTTGAGTATTACTTAAAAGCGCATTTGGAAGATAGGATTATTATGTCACAATTGTCTTCTCAAATCCCACTCCTCGAGGTACCTCTGTATCATTAATTGTATCATTAATTGTATTATTACACTGCGCTAAATATTCTAACCAATGTTATCAAGCATTTAAATGTTTTATATAGTTGTACCCATTCAGGGAATTCTCCCCAATGTTGAGGAAGACATAGTAGGTCACTCCTCCAAACATTCAATTATCAACGTTCGTAAGGAGACAAAAAATGCTTTTGTTAAACAAAGAGATATTGTCTAAAATAGGTATAAAAGATGAGGGGAAATATTTATTTAAATAACTGTGACATGTGCAAGCCAAGATAAATGGGAGAATGAACACCGTTTGAAATCGGTTTCGATTTTCATCAAAAAGGGTAGAAAATTATGGTAATATAAGTCACTCACATTCTCTGTTACTCATACTCCCAGGTATTTCATCTTCTGATGGTACCACAGGTATTGACACATTTAATATCTGGCATATGTAAAGTTTAATTTGCATTCAGACAAGTCTCCATAGGTGGTAAATATCTGCATCAGACAGATAAGAGGAACACGAGGATTAGAAACAAAACCCAAAAGATCATCAGGCTAAGCCGCAACCTTATGTTGAGTTCCCTTCCAGTCATAGCCAGTGACATTTTGATTTTCTCGTATCACTACCAAAGTAAGTGAAAATAATAATGATGGAAGGGGACATTCCTGTCGCATTCCGTTATGACTCAGTAATGTTTTTCAGCTATATAGTGTTCTAATCCATTTCTGAATATTGTCACCAAAGACAATTTTTTGAAGAGTAGCAAACATAAAACTTTAGGGGTATATTCTGATAATTATTCCTTAATCGTATGTGTCTTTTCTATTTCAGATAATTGTGGTCTATCTTTTTAAATATTATACAACAAGGAAAAGAAAAAGTGAAATTCTGTATTAATATATACTCGAAAAGGCAATGTACCACCTGTTGACAGTTTCAGTTAATGTACCTGAGTGAGTGGTTGTTGACCCTTCACAATTCCTGCAACGAGTTTAATGAATATTGTTCAATGAATATAAAAAAACCTCTGTGATAAGTGTCATCAACAGTCATCAGGCACTCAAAAGTTCTCTATATTTATTATCAAATTGCTTATGCTTGTGTTGTGATTCCAATTCTTAAATAGGGGCGTGAAGGTCTAATATTTGTTTTAACATCTGCTTTTTATTCTGTGTAGCTAGTGTATTTTTATTATGTGCTTTTATTACACTTTTAGAGGCTTCCACACTGTCACTGGGAAAATACCTTCTAGGTCAGTGATGGCGAACCTATGGCACGTGTGCCACAGGTGGCACGCCGGGTCCTCTCTGTTGGCACGCGGCCATAGGTCGCCTGGAGAGGGGGCCGCTGGCTGTCTGCAGGGTAGGCACCTGGCCGCCCAAAACGGCCGGCGCCTACTCTGCTTCCATGTTGGGAGGACAGAGGAAGGTCTCTAGGAAGCAGCTCTCCTGTCATCCCACGCGATGCTGTGTAGAGCATTGCCGCGTGTTACCATGGCAACGCTCTACACAGCATCGCGCGGGAGGACAGGAGAGCTGCTTCCTAGCTGCCAGAAACATACTTATCACCACCGGACCACCGGGGATGGCTGTGTCCCCCCCCTCCTTCACCAAAGGTAAGAGGAAGGGAGGGGAGGATACAGAATTAATTTTTGTATTTTTATCCCTACCCCCCACAGCACAGCACCCCTACCCCCCACACACAGAACTCCTATCCCCACAGCACAGCACCCATACCCCCGACACAGCACAGCACCCCTACCACCCACAGCACCACTACCACCACTACCACCCACAGCACCCCTACATCCACATACAGCACAGTACTCCTACCCCCACACTGCACAGTACTCCTACCACCCACAGCATCCCTACCTCCACACAGCTCAGCACCCTTACCACCCACATCACTCCCTCCCCACAGCACCCCTCCCCCACATACAGCACTCCTACCCCCCACATACAGTACAGCACCCCTACCCCCACAAACAGCACCCCTACCCCCCACACACACCCTCCCCCCACAGCAAGCACAGCACCCCTACCCCCACAAACAGCACCCCTACCCCCCACACATCACCCTCCCCCCACAGCACAGCACAGCACTCCTACCCACACAGTACCCTTACCCCATAGCACCCTCTGTGTGTGTGTATTCAGCAGTCTGTGTGTGTATGTATTCAGCAGTCTGTGTGTACTCAGCAGTCTGTGTATATGTATTCAGCAGTCTGTGTGTATGTATGCAGCAGACTGTGTGTATGTACTCAGCAGTCTGTGTGTATGTACTTTTCAGTCTGTGTGTGTACTCAGCAGTCTGTGTGTGTGTATTCAGCAGTGTATGTATTCAACAGAATGTGTGTGTGTATTCAGCAGACTGTGTGTATGTACTCAGCAGTCTGTTTGTACTCAGCAGTCTGTCTGTATGTGTATTCAGCAGTCTGTCTGTATGTGTATTCAGCGGACTGTGTGTGTGTGTGTATTTAGCGGACTGTGTGTGTATGTATTTAGCAGCCGGTGTGTGTATGTATTTAACAGTTGGTGTGTGAATGTGTTCAGCAGTTTGTGTGTATCTATTGCATTTGTTGGAGATACTAATAAATATAAGCTTAATTTTATCTATTTATATCATTATTTAAAATTTGTATCACTGAACTCTCTGTTGTGTTCTTCTTTTAAAACAAAAGTTGTTAATTAGTTCGGACAACTGTACGAGTTTTTTCTAAACTTAAACCTCAGTATTCAGGTTTAATTGCCGTGTTGGCACTTTGCGGAAAACAAGTTGGCATGGATTGCGGTTTGGGCACTCAGGCTCAAAAAGGTTCTCCATCACTGACTTAGAGCATCAGCTGACCACACTAGATAATCAGCGGCACCCATGCCGGACATCAATCTTAACTTCCTGACACTCTGTTTCAGAAGCCGAATACCACTGAGTGCCCTAGAGATCTGGAGCTGGAGGAAGCCTTTGTGGTTAAACAATTTGAGAGCAGTTTCACCCCTTAAAGGAAAGAGAGCGCCCAGGGGCCTCCTTACATCATAGCATTTTCATTTAGATGAAGTTGTTATGATGACCAGAATGTTCCTTTAATTTGATTAAAGAAACACTATAGTGGCAGGAAAACAAGCATGTATTCCTAACACCATAGTTGTGAAAACGCTATTCAGCCTGGCTTTTTGTAATAATGACTATGCTCCTCCCCTTCATGACACTGTCAAAAAGGGGCCAAGCATGGATGTCATTACAATTATGCCCCCCCTGGAAAAAATTCCTGGGAACGCCCATGGTTGTGGCACTACTCTACATACCTGCTACTCCAGCTCACAGACCAATCAAGAAACATTCACCAGTGGTCCTCTGACCCGTTTTGGGTGCATAGCTCCAGTGAAGCCTAGTGGGCGCTGAAGGAGGAAGAGGTTTCCGATTTTCTGATTTGGCACCGGCAGGTCCCAGACATGTTCCTGACACCCCCTTCCCTACCTTTTAGACCTGTGGGGGAGATCCCAGTCCCCACCCTGTCAGTTTCCAAGCCCCAAAGCTTTATCTGTGTAGCATGAATCAGTGAGGCCACCGGAGATACGTCCAAGATGGTGGACACTAGTACCCTCTATTGAACAGCGCTTGGAAACCATCTTTGACACCTTCTGGAGCAAGCTGCAAGTTCAAGCGTGGAAGCTCCTGCAAAACTGTCTCCTCGCACCCCGTGCCGTATTGTGACTCTCCCGACAGGCCCATCAGGCTTCCTGTGGCAAAGGTCGCATCAGCATTCCGAGAGGCAAGCGGCTAGCTGGCAAGTTCCAATGCAGTCTCTACCCGGAATGTGCATGAGAGAGAAGCGGAGGGTGGGAAAGATGGAGGGAAGACAGCAGCCCAGGATATATATATATATATACATACTGTGCAGCAAGGCTTTGTTACACTGAGTTTCCATCTTGAATCTTAGTTCTCTACCTACCTATATCTCAGTCTATGCATTGACATGCTTATCTAGCCTGATCACTATATCTCACATATGACTCCAACCATGTCTTACAGTATTGATAGAATGAGAAGTTTAGCTTGATCTACGTATGTGGCCATGTTATCTTCGTTTATCTCACATTGCCACTTCTGCACTTACACCATACTCACCTAATCATACACCTATCTGTGGCTGTAAGAGTTACACTGACATGCATGTCTATCCTGTTAATCCATGACATTATAAGCTACTTTCATGTCATTTAATGGAATCTATTTCTGCAAACTGTCTTTCTTACGCTACATATATACTTCTAAAATGTGCAGTCTCCTCCCAATGCTGACCAACTGTTATGCTATGCTTATTCTTGTACTTGCACGTGCTGTTGGGGCATTGCAAGCTCAGCTATGTTATTTTCATGCAGGACAAAAATAAAGAATTAAAAAAAAATGCTCTTTATAGGCTTAATTGAGTGGACCACAGTATTCAGGCAGCCATCCCAGTCGGAGCTTAAGTCACACCCTGTGCTTTGTTTTTCAAACAATATTTAAGTATTTGACTTCAAACGTGTCTGATATGCCACACGCTACATTTTTAGTAAGACCAAAATAATTGTAAAATAGTAATCTCAAATGCACAGATAAAAACCTAAAAGTTGTTGAATTATTTAGGGAGATTAGCACATTTGAGAATGTATGTCCTACAATTTTTTCAGTTAGTATTCTTAAAATCTTATTGGCCGGTCACTACATTTTAAAGTATGTTCTTGCATTTCTTTTACACACTGTGTGTGCTTTACACAGTAATATACTGCTGTGTCTTCTGGTTTCATTTCTCTTATTTTCAGAGATACCTCATTTTGAGCTGTGTCTCTTGACAGAGTGAGCCTATTCTTTAATGTTGGGTTGTATGCTGTACCCTGAGCATAGTTGAGATGAGCCAAAAACACAATTGTACCATCTACAAGTTGCTTTATAAAGTTCACAGCATAAATTTTACTGCTATCAGTGATTGCAGCACCAGTGACTTTACAGTTTAATGTAATTGTCTCTGAAGGTCTCACTAGTTCAGGAACTGACAGTGACACAGAAATCTGTGATTGAACATCTGCAAAATATGGATAAAAACAGCATTACATACAATACACAACATTTGAAAATGTTATAGTGTGGTTTTATATATACTTACTAGGCAGAAACAGGATAGTAAACAAAGGAAAATAAAACTTGTTCATGGTGTTAATTCAAAGCCACCAACCTTATCCAATCAGTCTAAATGCCTACAACATTTCAAAGCATTTAAGTGTTCTAATGAAGACAATTCCATGGATTTGCATACATTATTTGCATATATATTTGACAATGCAAATGTTGTCCTTTAATAATGCATTGGACTCATTAGCAACAGGATATGTAATAACTCTCAAAGGTGCTCCCAAAATATCTTGATTGTAAGAACAAAAAAAAAAGTCTTGAAAGATTTCACCTATAAACATCAGATAGTGAACCGTACCCATGTGACTGACTTGATCACATGGGCAAATACAATAGCTTAATTTTTGCCACTTTAGCACTTTTATGTCAGGCCCAGATATTTTATGTCACTGCAAAGGTTCCTGAGAAAATAGAAAGGAGGACACACTTATTGTGGGCTTTGGCATGTGAATTATTACTGCCCCGCTGACTAAAAGAAGACTGATCATGGTGTAATCAAAGAAAGTGCTTTATATTGCTAATTGTATGCATGAATATTCCATAGCAAGTTAATGACAAATTTATACCCTTTCAAACTTTAGGACCATAGTTAAATTTTTGACAAGGACAACTCAGCCTTTAATTATTTCAAATTTCTATAAAATGAATACTATAAATAAATAAGGCTAACAAAGCAGGGTTAATATATGTTGATAGATGTACACTCATGTATGGAAAAAAAAACCCTTGAGAATATATTTATATTTTTAAGTTAGAGCAACCAACCCCCACAATGTCTTTTTGAGAGCCGCTTCTCCCTCTAAATCAACCCAAGAGGGGTTCTAGTTCTTTAACCCCTTAAGGACCGGCCTGTTTTTGCGATGTTGTACGTTAAGGACCAGAGCAGTTTTGACACTTTTGTGGTGTTTGTGTTTAGAAGTAATTTTCCTCTCTCTCATTTACGGTTCCCATACAAGTTATATATTGTTTTTTTCAGGACAAGAAGGGCTTTCTTTACATACCATTATTTGTATCATGACATATATTTTATTTAAAAAAAAAAATATGGTGAAAAATTTAAAAAAGAACATGTTTTTGGACTTTTACTTGAAAAATCTTTTACTTATCTACAAAAGCTAATGAAAAAAACTGCTAAATAAATTCAAAATTTTGTCCTGAGTTTAAAAACATCCAGTGTTTTCATGCTTTATTGCTTTTTTTGCAAGTTATAGGCCTATAAATACAAGTAGGAAATTGCTGTTTCAATATATATATATATATATATATATATATATATATTTTAAACTTATCAATAGTGACATTGTAACATCGTTATCTGTCATAAATGCTTGAATCACACCTCACATGTACATATTTTTTTAAAGTAGACAACCCAGGGTATTCAAAATGGGGTATGTCCAGTATTTTTTAGTAGCCACCTAGTCACAAACACTGGCCAAAGTTAGCATAAATATTTGTTTGTGTGTTAAAAATGAAAAAAACGCTAACTTTGGCCAGTGTTTTGTGACTAAGTGGCTACTAAAAAAGGCTGAACACACCCCATTTGCAATACCTTGGGTTGTCTTCTTTTGCAAATGGTATGCCATCATGGGGTAATTCTCATTCCTGGCTACCATACACTCTCAAAGGCAACCTAACCAATCTGACAAATTTCAATAAAAAAAAAGTAAAATCAAGCCTTATATTTGACCCTGTAACTTTCACAAACACTATAAAACCTCTACATGTGGTGTACTGTTATACTCAGGAGACTTCGCTGAACACAAATATTAGTGTATCAGAACAGTAAAATGTATCACAGCAATAATATCATCAGTGAAAGTACCGTTTGTGTGTGAAAAATGCAAAAAACGTCACTTTCACTGACAATATCATCGCTGTGATATGTTTCACTGTATTGAAAAACTAATATTTGTGTTCAGCGAAGTCTCCCGAGTAAAACAGTATCCCCATGTACAGGTTTTAGGGTGTCATATAAAGTTACAGGGTTAAACACTGTGCTAGCAAATTAAATTTTCTGGACTTTCGGCCTGGGTTGGCAGGCAGGTCCCTCAAATTGCAATCATTATAATTACTTAATTAGGTAAAAATATTACGTAAATATGCACGTAGAATTTTAATATATATACATATTTATATATTTGACGTCTACATGTATATTTATGAAATTATTTATGTAATTATGTATATGGACATATGTATATTTCGAATTATTTTTATTTATTTATACATAGATATATATATATCATTACATTCTAAGTGTATTTTGATATAAATATATATATATATTAATATCAAAATACTGTTAGAATAAAATTATATATATTTTTTTTAATACTTTTTGTTATTTTTTTATTAACATATTTATAATTTATAATAATATATATATATATATATATATACAATATATAGTTATTATATATATATATTGTATATATATATACGTGTGTAATTTAAATATAAGTGTATTTTCATATTAATATACGTATATATAAATATAAAAATACACTTAGTATGACATTATATATATATATACATATATTATATATAGATAGATATAATACATGTGTATATATCTCGCATATATATGTGTATATATATCATATATATGTGTATATATCATATATATATATGTGTATATATATCATATGTATTGTATATTTATATATATATTAATATTATATTTTTTTTACACTGATTGCTTTATTTTTTAACTTTATTTTAGATTTTTCACTTGCAGGGAGACTGCCTGTCAGCACAGACAGTCCCCCTGCATGCAGATACACAGGCACCTATTGCGGCCACGTGATCGAGTGATCACATGGCCGCGGGGTCCTGATCTGCCGCGGGGAGACTGCCTGGGCAGACAAGCAGTCCCCCTAGATTGGGAAGAGCACTGATCGCCGATGGCGATCAGGTAAGTAGCCCCAGACCGTTATGACGGTTCAGGACCATCATCTGTCCCCAAGGGGATGTTTCCGATGACGGTCCTGAACCGTCATCGGTCGTCAAGGGGTTAAGTAAACACCCAGATCATTTTCTTCCTGGACAGTATGTGTAAGAGATCTGCCCCCTTATAGGCTGTCGGATCCTTTCAATGTCTGTTTTTCCCTAATATGTCTACTAACAGTAACGAGTCAATTGCCCTTTTCAATATAATTCAAAAGTTATTCCAATCTCCTCTCTGTCTTTCCCACATGTTGTACATTGCAGAAAAAGTAAGTTATTAGACTAATAATAATGAAACTATGTATTTGGAATACATATGCGCATGAATTGGAAAAACGTTCACTGGTAATCATTAAGTTGAAACATTTACTTTTGAAAACAAAATTACAACATTTACAGGGGTAAGAACTAGAAATGTTCATGTCTCAACAAAGCGCTATTTTCAAATCCATACTTCATTTCTCTGTGCTAAAATATTGGCCAGCTTAGGGCCTTTCTTATTATAAATTTAACATAGACCTTGGCTATTAGCGCTAGAACCTTATCTCCCAGTAAAATATGTAAATTATATATTTTTATAATATTTAATCTTTATTATAGTTTTAGTAAGTGTATACAAATAACTACCCCCCTTATTGTTATTCATGGCCCCCACCCACCGCTCAGGGGTGAGGGCTGGGGGGAGGAAAATAGGTCCCCCTTATTGTTATTTAGGGCCCCCACCCACCGCTCAGAGGTGGGAGGACCATAGGTCCCCCCCTTATTGTTATTTAGGGCTCCCACCTGCAGTGCTGGGGTGGGGGCCGGGGGGGAGGACAATAGGTCCCCCCCACATTCTCATTAAGGTACCCCACCTGTCCCTCAGGGGTGGGGGCCAGGGGGAGGACAGTAGGCCCCCCCTTTTTGTTATTTATGGCCCCCACCCACCTCTCAGGGGTGGGATTCGGGTGGAGGACAGTAGGTCCCCCCCGTATTGTTATTTAGGGCCCCCACCCACCGCTCACATGTGGGGGTCAGGGGGAAGGACAATAGGTCCCCCCTTATTGTTATTTAGGGCCCCCACCCGCCGTGCTGGGGTGGGGGCCGGGGAGGAGGACAATAGGTGTGTCCCCAACATTCTTATTTATGGCCCCCACCCACCACTCAGGGGTGGGAGCTGGGGGGAGGACAATAGGTCAGCCCCATTAACATTTAGGGCACCCACCCGCCGCTCAGGGCTTGGGGCCGGGGGGGAAGTACAATAGGTCCCCAACCTTATTGTTATTTAGGGCCCCCACCCTGCTGCTCAGGGTAGGGGGTTTTGTTTTGATTTTTTAACAGTGAGCAACCACAGGCTGCTCACTGTTTTGTAGACATGCCGTGTCCCACAGGGACTTCCTCTACCCACACAAAGATGGTGGCGCCCCTAATATAGGTCGGGACACAAAATAAAGATTAAAAAATAGGTAATATGGGGGACTTAGGGGCATTTGGGGGAAACTAGGGGGTCAGTTAGATGTAGTGGAGTCAGGAGGGAGGTTGAAAAAAATGGGATTCAGCCATGACAGTGCCGCTTTAAATCATAATGATAACAAATCACCCAAATGGCCCTGATCAAAAGTTTACATACCCTTGAATGTTTGGCCTTGTTACAAATACCCAAGGTGACATACAAAGGTTAAAATGGAAACTAAAGGTAAATGTTCCACACATGTGGCTTTTTAAATTGCATTTAGTGTCTGTGTATAAATAGTCAATGAGTTTAACTCTCATGTGGAAGCACTGAGCAGGCTAGATACTGAGCCATGGTGAGCAGAAAAGAACTGCATAACAAGGTAATGTAACTTTTTATAAAGCTGGAAAAGGATACAAAATGATATCCAAGCCTTGAAAATGCCAGTCAGTACTGTTCAATCGCTTATTAAGAAGTGGAAAAGTTGGGGATCTCTTGATACCAAGCCAAGGTCAGGTAGACCAAGAAAGATTTCAGCCACAACTGCCAGACGAATTGTTTGGGATACAAAGAAAAACACACAGGTAACCTCAGGAGAAATACATGCTGATCTAGAAAAAGATGGTGTGGTTGTTTCAACTTTTGCAGTCTGAATCACCCTAT